CCTGCAGAGCCCACCATAGACTCTCTAAGGTGGGCTCTGCAGGGTCACCCTCAGGTGGGCTGGTCACACTCCTTACCTGTCCACCTCCTCTTCCTCCACAGTCGGTCATGAGCCCCGCCTCCTCCGCCTGTTGCTGGGCCCGCCCCCACGCCGGGCTCCGCCTTCTCTGATGCCAACCCCGGGCCCTGCCTCCTCCTCCACTGCGGGGTCCAGTCTGCTCCACTGCCGCTGCTGGCTCTCACTGACTCAGCAGTGGCTGTGGAGAGGAACTGTCAGTGATCCGAACAGTGGCACATTTCTTTTCACAGCCGCCAATGTCAGCCAGCAGTGTGAGATGCCATAGCGACCCAGGCGGCCCGCAGGTCATCAGGAATGTCCTGGCCGGGCCCCCCTGTGCCCCGGGCCCCATAGCGGCCGCCTGGGTCGCTATGGTGACTGTTACGCCACTGTGTGTGGATATATATATATATACTTGGTATCCCTTAGCATTTCCTCCCCCCCCCCCTCTACAAAGGGATCTCATGACCTACTAGGTTCCTCCTGCTCCCTTCCCTAAAAAAAAAAAAAAAACCTGACCCTGGATTGTCTTTTGGGGCACCTGCAATTTGGCGAAGCACTAAACCTTATTCCTAGTCCCTTTTCCTGGCATCCCAATTGTGGAGCGCTCAGACGACCTTCCCTGAAGAGGCCAAGTTTTTTTACCCTTGCAGTCATAAACCTTCTAAAGGGCATGACGGCTGTAAGCTTTGGCCTGGTAGGACCTCATAAGTGTCTAGCGTTTGGTAGTCACTGGTCACTAATAGGTGAGTCTGTTCAGCTCCAATCCTCGCTAAAGAAATCTTCACCCTCTAGGGTGGTTTATTCCTTAACGTTCAGGAAAATTCGGTAAGTACTAAAATCTTAATTTTTCCCTCATCGGTAGTAATTGATATCATCGATGCGAGCTTCATGTTGTCTTCTATTTTAGAATTATAATACAGTGATTTTATGAGCTAGTACAGGCTGTATTTAACTGTTATTTAACAAAATAAGCAGGACTTTGCATGACTATAGTAGGTAGGAATGACATTTTGTTTGTGTGCATTCTTGTGAATGTTATATCTTGATTTACCGTAGGCATTTTTGGAACTGGCTACTGAAGAAGCAGCTGCTACTATGGTTAATTATTATACATCAATGACACCTCATCTACGTAACCAACCAATATATATTCAGTACTCTAACCATAAAGAACTCAAGACAGACAGTGCTCTCAACCAGGTATTTCTGCTATATTGATTTCTGCTAAAAGATGATCTTACAGAAAACATTCAATGCTATTCTTTTTCAAGATTAATGACCGGAAAACACCTAAACGTTGCATGTATAGAAAAAAATATTCTGTACCAAAACCATCAACAACATAACTAGGTTAAGCTCTCACAATAAATCATATTCCTATGGCTTTTCCTGTGACCGTGTGGGAAATTAGGGTAAATGGGCTTGCACTCTAAAAAAATAAAAAAAAAGCATTTAATATACACAAAGTTTGTGTACTCAAAATATGGAGGCATATCTGTTTTGGAGCCACTGTTTACTGTCACCGACTCAACATCCTTAATCTTATACTCACCTGAAGCTTCCTTCGTATAGTGATGAAGCTGGTAGTCGTATCCAGTTGCAGTAAAAATTCTGAGGTGATGGAATGTCTCCAGCACATGGGTTCCCTTACCGCCACAAACGTAGACTTTTTGATACTAAACTGAATGCTTGATTTACAATATATAATACATTTATTTGTTAAATGTGTAGAGCGCAGTGATTGTGACTCACTCCTCTCTTAATTCTTGTCAATGTGTGTGTTCAGACTGTTGGAAAACAAATCCTATCTTGTCACTGATTTGTCAGCTGGAGGCTAATTGAGACACTAGAGAGAATCTGCAAGCAATATTTAAAGTCATATAATTACTTATTTAAAAGAACTAGAAAATGTGTACTTACTGAAACACTGACACTTCTTGTTAAAAAAGGGGGGGGGGGGGGGGTGCTCATTTTTTCCC